AATAATGCATTTTAAATAGTAATGTGATGAAAAATATGTGGTTAAAATAAAGGAAAAAATTTAAATTTGTGTGTAATATTATTTCATTGAAAATTGCGTGGTTGAAAATGAGTACTGAAAAAATACATTTTTTAAAGAAGGTGGATGAAACAGGGCCTTATACTTTGTCGTAACATTGTCATTTACATTATAAATGGACAAAAATTCATGCATTTGAGGGCATTGCGAATGCTCACATTATAGTATTTACCCTGCTTAGAAGTACTGAAACTGCTCAAGATTCTTCATTGCACTCCAGTGAGAGCTGGTATGATGATTATTTCTTGGTAGTTTGTTTCCTGTTAATTTACATTTTTCACATTTCTATTTTGTTCAAGTGGTCTTTCCTCTCCATGATTTGCGATATTCATAACTATTGAATTTTGAACCTTCTTCCTTTCTTCTTTTGTTATTGCTGTGCTTCCCAAAACTCTTTGGTTTCCCCACATTTCTGCATCGTTGTAACAGAGGTTTCTTTCACGGACAGATAGTGAAAGTTCACAGGGTCAGATAGCAATGTATCTAGTGAACTCTCCGTCATCAAATCGGGCGAGGGCAGTCCCTCAAACGACCGAAGGCCAGCTTTTGTACAGAGATGAAGCTGAAGAGAGGACAAGCCCTCAGAAATCCAATCGTCAGTTTGCCAGTGAAATTAGTGAGAGGACCCGTTCTCTACTACAGATCCTAAATAAACTAGAATATAGGAGATTATTTTTAGTACTTAGTTACATTGGAAGGTTTGTTGTCCCTGCTATTCTAATTCAGTACTTCTTTTTTTATTCATCGCAGCAATCTTCAGTTAATAGTATCTGATTTATTTTGTAGGCAAAAGTTGGAAACTGTGATGACGCTGGATGATGCGAATGACATTCTAAGTATGAAGGACAGGTCGATGACAAATTTCGAGTCTAAAATTTGGGATTCCTATGGGAGGCAGTTCTATGAAAAGTCAGATCGAAGCGAGGTCAATTACACATCTTAATTGTTCCTCTTTACATTGTAGTGTATTTCATAGTTTCCTTCTTGAAGTTAGAAAAAGCTAATATTGAAACTATTAATCAGTATCATATATTTGTATTGTAAATTAATCCATGGACAGACCCATTGACAAGTGTGATAGCAATTCTAATAGAACAACCTACAAGAGTTGAAGAGTTATCCGTAGATCAAAATTATCACCACGTGATGCTATTGCAAACAAATTGATTTTGCTGAATTTTTTAGAATAGGTCTTTCCAGGTCAAATACAATGGAGAAAATATTCATTTATTTGTCATGAGAATTTGCTTGTTGTTGGATAATGAGTTTCTTAAAAAAAAATCATCATCAGGTTTTGATGCCAATTTTATAA